CCATGGTCACAGCACTGCCGAGGTCAGGCTTGCACACTCACCCCATGCTCGCAGCACTGCCGAGGTCAGGCTTGCACACTCACAGCCTTTCCTTTTTCAGGGGAAAACGGCGGCAGCTGTGAAGCCGATAGCCATTTCAAGCCTTCACCTCGGCCCAGGAGTGTCAAAAAGAGCAGCCCCACGGAGGAGGGAGACAGAGTAGATGACCAGGAACATTCCCCGAGTGAAGATTCTGTCCCCAGCCCTGCCCTCCCAAGGCAGAATGGCACAACGGGGGAAACTGAGGAAAAAGCACACTCTGAAAACCTTGATCTTGAGGTTGGCACAATGTGCGGTTGCTGGGTTCCTTAGCTCAGACCATCCTGCATGTGTGTGCATGTGCCTGCAGGTGTCTGCATGTATGTTGCATTTTCTTTTGCAATTGTTAAAGAGTTCTTTTTTGTTTTCTGTTTTGTTTGCTTTTGTTTTTGATGTGTTCATTTTTTAAAACTATACTAGATTCCCTTGAGTCTAAAATTCCCTTGACTGTAAACATAGCATGATTTTACACGCCTCTGGAAAGCTATACCCATATCAGTTAGAGTAAGATGCGTCCATTTCAAAGAAGGTGAGATGTTAAAATAGTTTTGTTTTTCTGGGAATGTTTTTCTTGAATTATCATGGGCTGGTCTCCCTCTCAGGGGTTCTGTCTTCTGGGATACCTGCTACATCCTCTGGCTTCCACAAGGAGTCCATAATTGCAGTGTCTCGGGGAGATCACTGTCACCTCACTTGGTATTTCACTGCGCAAAGCCGACTTCCAGCTCATGTCTCAGAAAAGTACATTTTCCCCCATAATCTGCTTGAGCAGATCGGGAAGTTGAGCTGCAAGCTGCCTGGCCAGGTTTCCTCCTCTTTCTGGTCATCTGCAGTGTGGGAGAAGGACCTGCTCACAGGGCGTGGGGCAGAGAGACTTCGATACCAAGTCCATGGATTTCTAGTGCTAAGTCAGCCCTGAGCCACATCTTTAGAGCTGACGGTTCTGGTTTCACTTGCGGCTCCTCTGGCTAGTTCTTAATTTGTTCTGAAAGATCAAGGGAGGAGCTGAAGCACCGATTTCATGTATTTAATATAATTACCAGGTCCATTGAATATCCCAGTGGTTTCCTGGAGCTGCTGGAGCTGCCACAGACCAGGAGGCTGATAAGAGGGGAAACTGTCTTTCCTAGTTCTGAAATCTCGATGTCAGGCCACTGCCTGAGCCCGAGAGGATCCCACCACCCTGCCGTCACCACCACGCCTTGTGCCGCTGGCTCCCTCTTTTCCTAAAACAAATCCTAGCAGAGTTAGGGCAGTAGGCCTTCATCTTGACAGCAATTCCATCCACAAATATGGTACTTAGAAATGAAGACCTCCGGGTGGACAGGAATTGGGGAAGGGAGCTCCACTTAGAGAAGTACACAGATTCTTCTTTTTTAAAATATGGTTTGTTTATTTTTGCTTTATGTGCATTGGTGTTTTGGCTGCATGTATGTCAGTGTGAAGGTGTCGGATCCCCTGGAACTGAACTTACAGATAGTTGTGAGCTGCCATGTGGGTCCTGGGATTGAACCTTGGTCCTCTGAAAGAGCAGCTGGTGCTCTTAACCTCTGAGCCATCTTTCCAGCCCCAGGTACAGATTCTTAACTGTGAACTTGAAATGTGTAAGTCAACGTCCCTTGACTTGAAATGTGATGTATGTGTGTACTCTTATTGAGGTAGTGTAGCACTGCGGTGAAAATCTCCCAGGAACACACCCAGCCGTACCTCCCCTGCTGCGCTGCGGCTCTGCTTTCCCTTCCGGGCCACTCTCCTCCCGTTTATTATCAGTTTTGTGTTGACTCCTTGTTTGTAAGGCATGGAATCTTTCCACACCGTGAGGGGGTCGTGTTGACGTAGTCACGTGGTATCTGACACAGCCCATAGTGGAGAGCTATTATCCTGTTGGACAGATGTCCCCCACTGCTCGCTGTGTCTCCCTGGCTCCCCTCTGACTCTTCTTTAAGGTCTCTCTCGTGGGCTTTCCATGGAGTTTGACCCTGCGTGTGTAACCTCCGTCTCTTCCCTGCATGTGTAACCTCCGTCTCTTCCCTGGGTGTGTAACCTTGTCTCTTCTCTGGGTGTGTAACTTCCGGCTCTTTGCTGGTCAGTTCCGAGTGTGTTCATCTTGGTGTGAGGTCTCACTTAATGCTTCAACTCCTCTGCCTCGGCCCTGCCGATGCCATACCAGATGTGGAAGAGGTGGGGGTGAGTGACATTTGCTTCCCCTCTTGCCTTCGTCAGTGTGCACACCTGTGTGCATGGCTGATGTGCACGTCAGTTACACACTTTTCTGCCTTAAACCCTGACTGATCAAGACATTGTAAGTTTTGTGCTTTGATTTCATACTTTTTTGTGAAACTTTCCATCTATACATGTGAAGGTGATTGCTGTATAAATTTTTTTCAAGGTGTTATAATCAGGTTTAAATGTCAGATGAGATTATTATTTATTGTTTTGTGTGTCTGTTATTGTGTTTGTATGTCTGTGTCTTCTCTCTTTATTTGCTAGAAATTTGTTATGAAACACAAAGTTATGAAAAGTTAAATTAGAAGGCTCATCAGTTAAGGTATTTGTGATCGAGTCTTTGTGGAGAAGTCTGTGCCATTAAACTTGGTTTTTTTTTCCTTAGTTCTATTTTGTTTTATGTTTTATTTATTTACAGATTTTGTGTGTTTGTTGCTTCTATGTGTCTGTGCATGCTGTGACTTGCCTGTGAAGGGCAGTGGACAACTTTGTGAGGCTTTAACTCTTCCGGCCTTACATGGGGATTGAACTCAGGTGGCCAGGCTTGTGAAGTCAGCACCGTTTCTCCCGCGCCTTCTTTCTGGCCCCTGATCTTTCCTTCCTGGTAGTTTTTCAGGTGCTGTTGAGGGCAGAAGAGAGTGTCCCATTCCCAGAAACTGAGGTTACAGGTAGTTGTGAGCTGCCCAAGTTGGTTCTAGGAAGTGAGCCAGGGACCTGTGGAAGAGCAGGAAGCCCTCTTAACCCTTGAGCCAACTTTCCAGCACAGACTGCGGTAAAGATCCTGTTGCCTCTGGGAATCCTTAGGGCTAACCTTATATGGTAAATATTTTCTTAGCAGGACTCACTCCTACAAAGTCTGACCTCATCATCCCTCAAAGAAAGCCCTGGAAATTGCACCTCACCGGAACCTCAGGAAAAAACATCCATGAAAGGTAGTCACACCTATGTCCTACCTTGTTTGTGAGCTCTGTGTTACTCAGTGTCCTGTCTGCAAGGGAAACAGTTATCTTGTATATTTAGGGGGAAAATGGTATGTCTTTTAACCCTGACTGTGCAATTGACGGAGTGACTTTCCACACGGAAGTTAATTTCCTGGTGCCTCTATTCCCCAGTGTACTGTAGTCCCTGTCTCAAAAGGCTGTTGTGAGAGTTGAGTGTTAATGTCTCTTATGCCTCCAGCAAAGTCTCAAGGACCACTGGGATGATTGTTGAAGGGAGCCTGTAGTACGTGATTGTTGCTGGCATCACGCAGCATGATGGCTACCTGGGCTTTTTACCCAGATGTAGACAGATGGACAGAGGAGCCTCTGGGCCTGTGACTTATCCTCAGCGCCATCTACCTCATGTGGCTGTGGGAATTTTAAAGAGTAGTAGTGCATAAAGGCCCTGGGACTACTACCAGGGTAAGCGCATAGCAAATGTGAGGTGTACGTCGGTTATTTCCTTTGCTAATGTTGGAGCTGGTGTAGCTTGATACAGCCCAAAGGAAGAGCTGGTTGGAGGGATGGAGTGTGGGCTGGCTTCCACTAAGCTGGTTAGTTTTAGTCAGCTTGGCCTACAGCTAGACTATCTCAGAAGAGGGAACCTCAGCTGAGGGGGTGCCTCCATCAGCTCAGCCTGTAGGCAAGCTTGTGACTCACGTTCTTGTGACTGGGAGTTAGACCATGGTAGAAACCAAACCTGCTACTAAACAAGGCCTGCTGGCTCTTCTGGTGACTGTCACACGGTGACCTCTGGGTGTCCCTGAGTGTCATGGAGTCAGTGTAAATAGAAGCAGTTCTCAGAAAGCCGAACTTCACCTTCTTATGGGAGCTCAGCTTTGTGCCGGTGAAGTCCTGGGTGCAGCAGCCCCGCCCTTGGTGCCTTCATGGGAGATGATGAAGGAAACGAAGGCGTGAATCTGGCCTGAGCTGGCTGGGTCTCTGCATGAGGTGAACTACATAGATCTGAGCTTGTCTGGCCACACGTGCAACTCGCCTGCGCTCCTTCCCCCTCAGTGCTGTGGAGGGAGCCATTGCCTCCTGTTTTCCCAGCATGCTCTGTTAGCTTTAATCAGATGGATATTGCAATCTCGGTTACTTGATTTGCACAGCCACACCTTCTCCTTTACTTGGGGGTAATTATTCCTTTCTAATTATGCATATGCTGTGTTTTCTAAGTATGAGGCTTGTCAAATGTTAGATAGAATAAGCATTTTTGCATTCATAGACCAAGTGTATTCAAATTTAACTGGATGGTTTTCATCACGCTTTGTTTTTTAAGGAAAAAGAGATTATAGCCTCGCATCATGGCACGTACCTATAATCCAGCACTCGGGAGGTAAAGGAAGATGGTCTCAGCTATAGGACAGCCTGCTCCAAAGAGGGAATCTGCAGTTTAGAGCACACATTGCTGCTATTCTGTAGGACCCAAGGCTCCTTCCCAGCACCCACATCAAGCAGCTCACACCTGTAGCTCCAGCTGCTGGGGATTTTTGACTCCTCTGGCCTCTGAGATGGGCACCTGCATTCATAGGAACATTTCGAACACACACACCCAAACATTCTAAATAGCACCCATTTGAAGGACAGTAAATGAGTCTGTCATACACTATGGTATTAGAAGGATTCAATGCTGTCTCTCTGCTTCCAAACAGATCATGATGGAGAACCCATAGAACTCTGGGATTCCCTGATATCAAATGAAAACGAAGAAACTTCGGTTTTGGTAAACTGTGTTTCTCCTGAACTTGAGCAAGCCGATGCAGGTCAGGTGGCTGCTACTGACAATGACGAAGCCAGAGCGACGGCTGGGCTCACAGATGATGACCTCACCACTGACCCACTGCTCTCCACGTCCCCGAGTGTCGTCACGCCAACTGAGACAGCAGAGCCAGCCAAGGTCCGTCTGGAACATACAGCACTGGCATTTCAGGTTCACACGTGAAACAAAACCTCCCAGTATCTCATGTCTGTCTTCACACCTCTATATCCGTGTGGAGAACATCTTTCCACAGTGGGATTGTATTATCAAGTAGATATGACTTAATTCCATTGAATTTCAATTTCAAGGAAAGTCTGCACTTGTCAGAATGAAGGCAATTGTTCCCTGGAAACTGTCAGGCATAATGATATGATTTAAAATAGTTCATAATCACATAATATATGTGTCTCTATATGGTTTGTATAGATCAGATAATAAAAATATAGCTGTTTAGAACAGCTATGGAGAGGCTATGTTGGTGAAATTTTCATCTCTTCAAAATATAAACAGCTTTAATGAGAGGTTTGAAGAGCTCCTTGTACACAGTGACTCCAGACCAGTCTGAACTGTGTGGGACCCTATTGAGTTCCAGGCCAGTCTGAACTTTATGGGACCCTATTGAGTTCCAGGCCAGTCTGAACTGTGTGGGACCCTATTGAGTTCCAGGCCAGTCTGAATTGTGTGGGACCCTATTGAGAGAGACGAAGACAGAGAGACAGAGAGAGGAAAAGGTCGGGGAGGAGTGCAAGGAAGAAAGGAGGGATGGAGGGGAACAAAAGAGGAAGTTTTTATAAATGTTTTTCAGTCACCTACCCTAGTGCCTAAGGTGCCTGACACTTAGATATAGAACAGTGATTTCCTCAGCTTTGCTTCCCAGCCTGACGTTACCATGGCGAGTGATCTGTCTGTGTGTTTCCCATCTGCTAGAAAGCAAACGAAGACCGAAACATGAAGAATAAAAAGGCAACCAATGGTCGAGTGTCGAGTGCCTCTGGCAGGTAAGAGTCACTGATGTCCTTGTGCTTTCTAGTGGTTTCCGTCGTCAGATGGGACAGATACCTCGTGATGAAACTCTTAGTTGGTCCTGCTCTTTCATATAAAACTCTCCACTTATTTAGTGTTCTTTGGGGTTTTCTCCCCGGCTGTGTTTTTATTTTTTCCCAGATCTCATTGTGCAGTTCCTTGGCCAAAGCTCCTGTTTTTTGATGAGAGACTATGTATAGATGGTCGTAAATTTGAAATCCAGCATTGTTTTTCTATTAAGTGTTTTTGGCAAACACAGGAAAAAATTGGACAGTTTCCATGGGCTCAATGGGTTTATTGAAATGATAAGAATGTGAAGCTACACATGTCGGCACATGTGCAACCCAGCATGCAGGAGACTGAGGTGGGAGGATGTGTGCATTCAAGGCCAGCTTGAACTGCATCGCAATACCCTGTCTCAAATAAAACCAAATACTACTACTACTACTACTAATAATAATACTAATACTACTAATACTACTAATACTAATAATAATAATACTAAGTGCTGAGCATCCCGAGAGCCTCACCCCCTCTCTCACTGGTGTTACCAGCACCTCAGCCTTCCGATTTTTCTAAACTAGTGTTAGCTGAATAAGGGGCTGTCAACTTTGACCAGTAAGTCAGTAGTTGACATTTTCTGAGCCCCACCACTACAGCCTAAGGTAGGGGTGGGGATATGCAAATGAGTGTTGAGAGCCACCATGCAGTAAACCTTCACCAAAAGAGAAGATAGGCCAGATTTCCCCATAATGTCTGAAATATGGGTTCTGACCTGCTAAATCCACAGGGTATATAAAGTAACAGAATAATGCATAACATATTCAAAGAGTGATTAAAAGCTACGTTTATTGGTAGTTTTTATGTTTTTTTAAGATGTGGTTTATGTTTCTTTAAAAGGCTCTAATTATTAGTATCTAAGAAGATACTAATACTATCTTCTAGATACTATAGTTCAAAGTTCTAAAGTTTAAATTATGTTAGCAGAACTAAGAAAACAAGACTTTTGACTGGGTTATTTTCAAGGTAATTATAATTCATTACATTCACTCATAATTTTTTCATTTTGTTTGTTTGAGACAGGGCTCCACACTTAGCCCAGGGTAGCTTGGAACCCACTGTGTTCAAGCTGACCTTGAACTCACGCCTCAGTCCTCTGAGTGTAGGGTTGTAGGTGTGAGAGGCCATGCCCGGCTTTAGAATGTGGTTATAAAGGTAATCACTGTGTCTGACAGCTCTACCTTAGAGTGTGGTTACAAAGGTAATCACTGTATCTGGTAGCTCTACCTTAGAGTGTGGTTATAAAGGTAATCACTGTGTCCGACAGCTCTACCTTAGAGTGTGGTTATAAAGGTAACCACTGTTATCTGGTAGCTCTACCTTAGAGTGTGGTTATAAGGTAATCACTGTGTCCGACAGCTCTACTTTAGAGTGTGGTTATAAGGTAATCACTGTGTCTGACAGCTCTACCTCACTTGTTCTCGGTCCGTTTGGAACTTTCCAGGCTGATGACCTCTGAGTTTTTGAAGAAATCCGGCCCCACACGGAGAAGTCCATCCGCAGCTACCTCTTCTCACTACCTAGGGACATTGAAAGTCCTGGACCAGAAGCCATCACGGAAGCAGAGCCTGGAGCCAGACAAAGCTGATCATATAAGGGCGACCGTTTACCAGGTAAATGGAAAACATTTCTTAAACAAGAGCTATCGTCTCCCCAGGCCTGCCCACCAGTTAATAATGTGACCATCTCAAAGGATAGCTGGATGCTCACTGTCATTGGGGAAGCTTTTCTTAGAAGTGTGTGAGCAACTGTGAGGGTTTTTCTGAATTATTTGCTGCCCCATTTTGCTTAAACTATAAAAATAATGTTTTTAAAAAAAGAGAAGATACTGCTATGATTTATAGAAATATAGCAAAGGCCAGTTTGCTGAAAAATCTACATGCATTTTATAATACTGTTCTCAAAGTTTGTGTTGCTCATGATCAAATCCTTTCAATGTTTTCTCTCTTGAGACAAAGATTTTCCTAATTTTTCCACAAATTAAGATTTTCCTATTTTTTTAATCCCATCTTTTTTTTAATATTTATTTGTTATGTATACAATATTCTGTCTGTGTGTATGCCTGCAGGCCAGAAGAGGGCACCAGACCCCATTACAGATGGTTGTGAGCCACCAAGTGGTTGCTGGGAATTGAACTCAGGACCTTTGGAAGAGCAGGCAATGCTCTTAACCTCTGGGCCATCTCTCCAGCCTCGATTTTCCTATTTTTTTTCCACAATTTTAAGAAAGATCTCTTTTGTTTTGTTACACAGAATATAACCTCCTTTGGAAAATTTTCCACTTGAATTTCAGTATAAAATGTTGATACTTTAGTCATTATATTAAATCATTGCAGTCTTAGATACAAGGGAGATGATGCAATAAGATTTTCTTAAACAACAATATTCATATTTATGTTTACAGCTTCACTGGGAAAAGAATGCTGCTTTAGACAAAATTATAAATTTTTTGGTTTCTTTTTTAAACTTTAAACAAATATTTCAAAAGTGGGTATGAATTCTAAGTCATCTGGGCACCTCGTAGTATCACATAAGCTTTTGTTTTTAATTTCACAGGAGTGGCTGGAAAAGAAAAATGTGTATTTGCATGAAATGCACAGGATAAAAAGAATCGAAAGTGAAAACTTACGGATCCAAAATGAGCAGGTATCATAAAAGGAAGAATCCTACGTCAGTAAGAGCCTCTGGGTATTTAATGTCACCAAATGAACGGTTTCTAAGTGGTAAAATGTGTACATAAAAGAACTGATTTCTGGCTTCATATTCTCAGTTTGGGTTCAATTTACCTTTTACATAAAAATACATGCACATTTTAAGTCTCCCATGCATAGGCTAGACACAGCAGGGCTACTATTAACAGTAGCTGTGTGACCACCAAATTCAGTCTCAGAAATTCCTGCCGATTAGAGTTTAGGCTAGAACATAGGAATATACACTGGCCTTCAGTTTTCTTGTTCTGTCTCCCACGCCGACCCCTGCCTGCTCGAGAACCCACTCCAATGGACTGGTCCACATAAGTAGGTCAGCAGGGAAGCATCCCTGAAGTGGGCAGCACCAGGGCCAGGCGGGTCTCTGTGGGCCAACCTCCAGGAGCTGTGCCGAGCACCTCTGTGCCGGCCCGCCGGTACTTTAGCTTTTGAAGTGTGTCACCTCCACGATGCAATTTGTGTCTTCTAAGGTTGAACAAACCGTATTTGAGGTCAAATACTGGCCTTTGTGAGGTTAGAGAGTAAGTGTGTGACTTAGTTACAGTACTGCCCCGCATGTTCTACAATGGGTTGCTCTTATTTGACATTTGGTCTATGTTCATGTTATAGGAATGCTATGCTTTGATATTAAAACAGGGTTCAAGCCAAACACCTGTACCCACTATGTGCTTTGGATAACTTACCTTACTTTATAATCTTTTAACTTTCATGATTTTTTTTTACTAACATTTTACAGTACCAGTTAACCTGTAGTGGTTTCTTTTGAAAACATTTATTGAGCATACTTCCAAAGTCAATCGATGCTTTTCTCATGAATCCAAAATAAGTCAACCCCTGATAAGTGCTTTGATATTCTAAAAAAGCAGCGAATAACTTTTGTAGATCAACTTTTCCAAGTAATTCTAAATAAATTACCTGTTTTGCTACTTTGTATAACAACTGTTGGGAGACTGAAGACAAATACATATTTGTGTATATGTGTCTAGACCTGTACTCCTGTCTAGACACATATATGGATGCCATTGTTTTTTCAAAAACCAAAATAGAAAAGAGCTGCTAAGAGAGAGGAAGCATTAGCATCGTTCGAGGCCTGGAAGGCTATGAAAGAAAAGGAAGCAAAGAAAATAGCAGCAAAGAAGAAGCTGGAGGAAAAAAACAAGAGGAAGACGGAAGAAGAAAACGCCGCGAGGAAAGGCGAGGCCCTGCAAGTGAGTACCGCAGACCCCCTCCGAGCCTGGTTGTTAGTCCTGCTTGTGCTTGAATGAAGGATCCGTTGTGCTTTTGTTGATCTCAGAGAAGTCGTGACAGGTAGGAAAACACTGTGAACTCTTCCAGGCCTTTGAGAAATGGAAGGAGAGAAAGCTGGAGTACCTAAAAGAGAAGACCAGGAAGGAGAAAGAATATGAGCGAGCAAAGAAACAGAAAGAGGAGGAGACGGTCGCTGAGAAGAAGAAAGACAACTTAACTGCTTTTGAGAAATGGTAATCCTGCTCTGTGGGCACGCAGCTCGGGGGCTTCAAGGGAATACTTGAGGCTTGCCTAGGACTTAGGCCTGCAGGGCTTCCCATGCCTTCCAATCCCATCGCTTCCGAAGCTACACTAGGGCATCTCTAGCGTGTCTTCGCCTTTAACTTTCTAGTGTTTCATGTTCTCCTACACAGGACTGAGAGAAAGGAGGCTCTTCTCAAGCAAAAGGAGAAGGAGAAAATCAACGAGAGGAGAAAGGAAGAGCTGAAGAGAGCGGAGAAGAAAGACAAAGACAAGCAAGCCATCAGTGAATACGAGAAGTGGCTGGTAGGTGTTGATGAACTTCCTCCTTCCCTGGCTCTTTATTCCTTTTCTGCTTCTCATTCCCATCCTGTTTTCCTTGGAGACTACCTAGGCTTTCCTCCTCTGCAGCTCAGATTCCGCCATGGCCTCTCCTTTCTGGCTGCACTTCTGAGGTTGCCCAAAGCAGGTGAGCTTGCAGCAGGTGTGAGTTCCAGGTGGACATCCTGCCTCGGGCCCTCCCCATTGTGCCCTTTCTTCCTCTGTGCTCCTTGCCTCTGACATCACCGGAGGCAGTCAGGTGCCCTGAGGTCCAGAGTCTTCGAGGCGAAATCAGCCCTTGCATGCAGTAGTGCTGAGGTTAATGGGGAGGAACTTACTTGATTTCTTATGCTCTTTCAATGTTGCTGATGATGTAGGGAAAAGGGTCTTATTTAGTCATTGTTGAGTGAAAAGGGTCAACATTGTAGTTGGAAGGTACACATCCAGCTGTTCTTTACTAGATATGTGAGAATAATAAATATTTAGTTTTAATATGTATATGTTAACAGGTTACTTTTTGGTGCTGTCAAGCAAAATACAGACTTCTATTTTAAAACAGATACTCATTTTGTTAATTTTGAATAAATAGTAGCTATGAATATTATACTTTGTGCAAGTAGATGACAAACGCTTATGAGTAGTGCCCATGTCAAACTCTGGAGTGCTCCCCAGAGCACACTGCCCCGTGCAGGAGAGCTTTGCTCTGGAGTGCTCCCCAGAGCACACTGCCCCGTGCAGGAGAGCTTCAGGACAGAGGAGCAGGTGCTGCTCAGACACCAAGTAAAATGATCTAGAAGAATGTATAATCTTTGCATTAACCCATAAATGGGCATTTTCTCGAAAGAAGTGTAAATGAGAAGAAGAGGCTCAGCTTCAGCTGCTGTGATAGCGGAAAGATATGGAGGAGAACACTTCAGTAATAATAGGAAATGCCCCTGACCCTGTATCCAAGCATAAAAGAGGAAATGCCGGTAACCCTCTACCCAATCAAAAAACTAGAAATATTTCATATCTGCTCTCTTTCTGTCTCCTTAAATTTTCTGCTTCATGTGCCATAGAAATGAAACAGAAATAAAAATCAAATAATGCCATCTCCACTCAGCCTCCCCTTCCAGCTCTGGCCTCTTATATTCTGCTTTTTCTTACTTCCAGGATGCCTCCCTACTTCCAGCCTCCTCCACCCTTGCTTGTCCCGATCTCCAGCACAACCAAAGCCAAACTAGAACAGTTCTGGGTTTGCTCAAGTCTCCTGCTGCTGTGACACTTGGTTCACTGTCCCTGTGTAATGGTAGTCTCACACACGCACGCACACGCACACACGTGCTCCTTCTGGGTTCCCCCACTACCCTCTTTCCCCGCTCATGTCTGAGTGTTTTCCCTGAATTCTGGATATGGCCATGACCTACTGTTACTGTGTCCTTTTTTCTCTTCTGGGGCCTGTCTCCCTCCCCCGAAGCCTTGATCACAGTCGTTTCTCTGTCTCCTCCGGCATCCCCAGCCATTCCCAGCTTCTCCTGAGCCATGACACTTAAAAACCTCTTCTCTGACTGAATCTGCAAATGTTTTCTCTTTGCACCGTGTGTCACCTTAGATTGATGTTCTTTTAATCCACTCTTCTGTGGTCGTATATTACCCTTTTATTTATTATTATTATAGACACTCACCCAATTTTAGATTCTATGATATTAATTTACTTGTTTCTCACTTGTCCATTCGGAAAGTTTTCTGAGCATCAGAAACTGTATGTGTGTGTGTGCACGTGTTTGCATGTGTGTGCATGTGTTTGCGTGTATGTGTGTGTATGTGTGTGTGTTTGGATTTGATAAGCACTGTGTTTGACCCCCAAGTAGAAGCTGAGTGCTTGACATTTGAGTGAAAAAATAAAAGCCACAGCTGCCTGTGCCAGAAGAACGAAAGCTCCACAGACACCTGAGAACCTGCTCTGTGTCGGACGTGATATGTGAGGAGCAGCACGAATTAGTGGTGCAGGAGGATTGTTATTGGGTAATTCTTTTGATATTTAGGCTTCAAAGCTTTGCTTCACAGCAGGAAAAACTGCTAAAAGGATTAATGCACTACACAGAAAATCCCAAGCAATTGGACAAACTCAAAGAAAACACAGCTCGTCCAGTCTCCCAGATCTGACATTGCCTTCTAAACCTTTAAGTGCTCAGAGTCACCAAGGAATAGAGTGGTGCTAGCCAACGGCACAGCATTACACGTAATAACGTGAAATTCAGTGTAGGTACTGGCGGGCTTGTGAGAGTAAGTGCTCATGCGGTGACATTGAATATGTGCAAACACTACCAGAGAGGCTGGGGTACAGGAGACATGATGAGGGAGTGGACAGGGAACACTGAGGGGTTGGGTCGTGCTTAGTGGGTAATCACATGTTGTGAATAGTACACAGTTTTCTCTAGTTGGGTTATTTCCTAAAACATGGTGTAAGAGTAAACACTAAAAGTAACAAAATAACACAAAACAATATTATATTATTTGAAATATTAAATTGAAGATACTCAAGCTACTATAGTTAAACATACTGTTAATCTCCACAGTCAGGTAAATCAAAGTATTGATTAAAAAAATCACAGAAAAGACAACAGATTGTCTTAAAATGTGGTAAAGCTCAATAAAAAATAAAACGCAAGACTAAATTTTCAAGAGTCTGAATGCCCTGGGTTGCCATGGCACGGTGAGACGTCACTCTTACTGGCCTGCTGGGAATGCGTCCCCTGAAGGTCACTGCTACCATTTTATGATCATGATGTTTGCTATAAAACTGCACACTCACAGATATTCTGTTTTGGTTTTTGAAGCAGGGTCTTGCTGTGCAGACAAAGCTGACCTCTGACTCAAGATCCACCTCTCTCGGCCTCCCCAGTGCTGGGAGATGGCTGGCACCACCACCACCGTGCCTGCATGTCACAACTGTCTCCATGCTCAGCCTCCTTTCCTTTCCTGTTCTTCCTCTTCTCTGTTTCCTGTCATCATCATTGTCTGTGTGACGAGATGAGGTCTCATTCTGTAGCCCAGGCTGTCTAGAACCCATTGTGTAGCCCAGGCTGGCCTCACATGGCAATCCTCCCTCCTGAGCTGCGTGAGTTTTATAAGTAGAAGCTTCCAAGGCTAGTTGGACATAGTTTTCTCTGTAACTTTCAACAATTAAAAAGGTGAGGTGAAGTGGGGCGTGGTGCTTCACTCCTTTAGTCCCTGCAGTGGGGAGGAGGCAGCTGGAGGAATAGAGCTCAGGGCCCCATCCACTACACAGGCATTGTGATGCCAAACCAGGCTCTGAGTGCCTGTCTCAATAACCAAGCAAGCAAGCAATGACATTACTACTATTAATAGCAAATTTGTGCATGTTCAAACAAATCAGCAATAGTCCCTAGCTATTTTTCCTTCAAAACTAATTAAACAGGAAATTGTGTGCAAAGATCATATAATGAATTATTTTCTTCCAGCAATCCAGTTCAATAACCAGTTCACATAGTGTATATAAACTTAGAGTTTTCTGCTTTGTCTTTTGTTTTTTCTTTTGCCATTTTTTCCTTTAGGAGAAGAAAGAAAGGCAGGAAAGAATTGAACGGAAACAAAAGAAGCGCCATTCCTTCCTTGAAAGCGAGACCCACCCTCCGTGGAGCCCTCCCAGCAAAACTGTGTCCTCGAGAGTATTTTGACAACTCAGGTTCTTGATTTATCCATTCACCAACTTTGCCCATGGAGTTGGAACCGTTCATCTCATTATTTGTGGTTAGAAGAGTCTGTTTCAATTGCCTGCAGGAATTCTGCAGAGCGCAAGAGAGGTGCTTTACAGTGTAGGCAGTGGGAGCTGTTTTCTCAAGTGTAGATAAACCGCCTCAGGCGAGAAGCCGGGCAGATTGCTGAGATCCAGATGCATGACGCTTTGTCACGTCCTAGTCACTGCTGACGTGGGTGGTCTGTGTCACTGAGTTCTGCGTCTTTTAAAGCGTGGTTAGTCCCACCGACCAAAGGCTGCCATCCAAGGAATGATTCAGGTCGTGAAAGCTCGTGCTTCTGGATTGGACTTTGGGAATTAACAGTCCCTGGGGAGTATGGGCAGGTTATTCTAATTCCGCCCAGAACAGCATCTCCGCTGGGCAGGCTGAGACCGCAGAGCTCTCGTCAAAGATCCTCGCCTTCCGGTTTAATCTCAGTGTGCGTTGCCTGTGTGAGCCTCACCTGACAATCATGGCCATTTCTGTAATGGGTTCACTTCTGAAACTTTTCTTTCTAAATTCCATCTCAGTGTGCTTATTATTTGGTCAAAAGCCAGCAATTTGATGGTAGCGGTGTCTTATACAGTAGCTTTGAGAATTTCATAGGGGTCCAGGGTCATTGTCAAAATTCTTTCTAGACTAAAGTTATAAAGATCAATGAAGGGAACTCTCACCTTCTCAACTAACCTAGAATGCTTCAACTTGACTTTAGAAGCAGCTGAATAAGAAAGTAACTTTGTAAAAAGATTAAGATTTATTTATTAATTTATTTGACCTCTGCTTCTCCCCGCATCATCTGGTCCCATACGTGACTGGTCATTTCCTGACACAGACCAGCTGTGGCCAGCGGCTGTAGGCAATAATGTGCTGCAGAGACAATCAATGGAAAGCACGATCGCTGCTGTCCCCTGAGCTCTTCTGTCAGCTCTGCTGCCTCCTGACAGATGGAATTTGTCAGCTGTGTAACAACTATTCGGGGTAGGTGTTCTTAGCTTTACTGCGCAGATAAAAATACTGAGGCTAAGCAAATCTGAAATAACTTGCCGTACAGCAAACATCCGAGCAGTGGGACCCAACCCCACTGTCTTCCTCGTCCTTGAGACCTGTGTGACCTCAGAGACAGTGGCTGACTTCTCAGTCAGTCAACCTCACAAGCACTTGTCACTCCCAAGGCGTTGATTCTGCAGTGCTGGTGAGTCATGGTCCTTGCCTGCTGCCTCCAGATTCTGTACCTCCTTACGTCTAAAATGAGGCAAGGACTCATGGGATCTCAGAGGTTCATCACACATAGTGTTAGCAAAGTCAGCAGCTTGTGCAAGACCCAACCGTAGGATGTGCACAAAACGGGAAGTCACAAGAGGCTGTGTGGCATGGCCAGAGCAGATCAGATCACACGACAGACACTCACAGATGAAGTGAGAAGCCTTTGATACTGCCAGAAATGGTCACTGAAAGAGTCTCAGCAGGGTGCTATTGGTTTGGGATTCAGGACTTGAATTTGTGTGTTTTCCCACACCCAAGCCTCCCAGAATAGACTGATGCAGGCCTCTTGTATTGAAGTCAATAGGTAGAGTTGAAAAAGGGTTTTGCACATTGTAAGGAATGAAGAGGAGTCAGACAGGAGTAGCTCTTCCACGGTCACTTTGTACAGTGTTGTATTTGCTATTGCTGATAGCTTCTGAATCATGAGAAATGAATGATACAAGCAAGCCAAAGTGAAGTATTTGGAGCAGAAGGACTCAGTAAATAGCCTTTGTCATATTTATTTACCAGTCCCCACTTCATGGACGGGAGGTCAGTGTGCGGTGAGCAGGACAGAAGTTACTTAGTACACAGTTTTAGCATGCAGAACTCAGCCTTCTGGTCCGTCTTTGATGGACCAGTCACAGTCAAGTGCTGCCAGGAACAGGGCCCTCAGAGAAGACACCTGAATGCTGGTCTTTAAAGATGGTTTCTGAAGAGAATTACATGACAAGTGAAGATGTACCCAAGGCCCCAAATGTTGTTCCCTCGCATGTGATTTAGGATGAGTCTATATAGAGAGTAAGTAATAGGGTTTTTTTTTTCCAATTTACAACAACCTGTATTCAATCTCTATGGGATTTATCTAGTTAAATAAAATCGCCCCTTCTCCTGTAGTAAAAATAAAGCAGAGATTTGGCCAGTGAGTGAATATCTAAATCTGTAATGTGACAGTCTGAGTTCCAGAGGGAAGACTTGAATCTACTAAGATTATTATTATTATGTATTTGCTTATTTAAGAAATAAGACTTGCCCATATATTTCCTTAAAAGGTACCAAATATAGATATAGGTTAGTTTATAATAATGAAAAATAAAACTTTTATATAAAAGTAAGTTCCATAATAACAGCAAAAAGGTATCACACATATCAAAAGGAATAATATGGTGTGGAATAATTTAGATGTGGAAGAGTTGCTGTTTCCTTAAGGAAATAGGCTAAGAACAGCTCAGAGTAATGGTATTCCCGTAGCCTATTGTGTGTCACTCTTGAAGGTGCTGGTTCACTAGTTGTAGATCGGAAAGATAGCTGATGTTTTCACTGTTGCCAAAGTGGTACCTCATGGGAGCTTGACAGCCACAGTTGGATGGCCCTTGGGGTGATGTAGCTGTTCATCACCCTGGACCAGACTGTTTCTGTGTTGAATAATCTAACATCCAGCTCATTTGCCAACCTCAGATGCCAGTTCTATCATCCAGGCTGACAGCAGGCCCTTTGCCCGTCATCTGCAGCTGTGCTGGGCTCCTGAGATGCTCACAGCAGCGTTGGCTAAGCGTGGTTATTGCTCCTGTGGCTGGTGCTGCTCTCTCCTGTCTCCCTTTGCTTCCCTGCTGTTTGGGTGCTCACATTGCTCTTTAAAGTATGAGGAAAGAGTGGCACTTCTTAAATACAATAGGGAAAGGAAGTTTCATAAAGTAGGGGGAAGTGCATGCTAGTTGAAATCATTCTCAGAAATAAGATAGTACAGGAAACAAATTTGCCTAATTTAATCCTGATTCATAGTTTAATTGTACTGCACTGTAAGACATTTAAAAGCCTATGTGTCCATTCAATACAATGCAAATACATTATTGATTTTCCTCGTTCCTAGTTACGCTAACTGATAGAATAGTGAAATGGCATGTGGGTGATGATGTGGAGGCTTTCCCAAGGCCTTTGTCATAAAATGTCGTGTCTACTGCTGGGTAGAAATGTGCTATGTGGCGTGGTGACTGTAACCAGAACATGTGGAACTCTCGGTGCTGAACTTAGGGTGTCTTGGGGATTATTGGGGGAGATATATTTAATGCCTGCACCTTAGTAATACATTTTTGTTTCATACTTAATTTATTACAGTTAGCTACTCATGGTTTATTTTATTGTTATTATTTATTGGCTGCACGCCAAATGTTGATAAATGTGTGCTTATCTCTGAGCTAAAGATGTTGATACCTCTTTTATTGGAAATGAATAGTGGACAAGAAGTGATTTGCAATGTAAGATCTGGATGAGAAACTGACGGCAGGTGTGACATAGTTGTCAAGTGATTGGAAGACTCAGATTCAGGAGGTCACCATGTTTCCACCCCTCCATGATAGCTGCGGTTCCCCGCATCTCCACTCTCCCGTCTTCATCTCCTAGGGAGTGCTCTACCATTGGTGGATGGAAGGGGATGGAGGAGGGAGCTCTTCCTCCTCTGGTCCCCTAGGCCTCTGTCTCACCTCTCCCTGTCTTCTGTGTTATCTAAGTGTACATACATATATGTATATGTTTATAATCTGTATTTGATCACTGAAATAAAAATGACACCAAGCCACCATTTGGTAACTGGATTTTTTATTAAACAATTCATCGAGAACTTATTCCCACAGTAACATACCTTTAATCCTTTTTATGCTGTACCTACAATTTATTTCTAAGTAATTTGTCCTTAAAGTGTCTTAAGTGTGCAGCCAATATCTTCCTAGTAAATACCCATAGCAATGACTGTGAACTTCATCGAGTCTGTATAGGTAAGTAGAAAGGGACAAAGCTTAAGTATTAAAAAGTCAGAAACTCCCTTGAGCTATGTGTTAGAGGTGTTGTCCTAAGGCCCCCCTCCCTTACTGCGTGAAGCCAAAGTCATCAAAGATCCCCTGGGTCATTTAAAACAAGATCATCAGTGCTGTAATTTACTCTTCCACGTCTGCCTGTTTATTTATTATGTCACCATGCTTTTTCCTTTCCAGATCAAGTCACACATGTCATGCCTTCAATACCTATGCATGTGTGTGCGCGTGCATGTTTGTGTGAGTGTGTGTAATGCATGGAGCCCAGGGCCTCTTCAAGCTTGGAAATGTTCTACCGCTGAGCCACATTACCCGTCCTCCATCTACTTCTCTTGTAACCCGTCCGAGTGTTTTCACTCCCACCATCTAGTTTTCTGAAAACGCAACTTTAGTTTGGCTTTCTTTCCCACTCTACATGCACAATGGCTAACTACTGTGTAGACAGCATCAGTAGTAAAGACCACAGGCCTGCGGAGGCAGACAGGAGCACAGGAAAGTTGGGTGATGGGAAGGGAGCTTGGCCTCAGCCTGTAGTAACCTAGGTTTGTTTTCCATTTTTAACCATCACTGACCATATCCAGTAAACAATCATATCTCAGCACTGACCCTGGAGGTTCCAAATGCGACAGGTCTGCAAAGCTTCCTGGTTCCAACGTTCTTTCCCAGAGATCCCCAATTGATGTACTAAAGGTGGACACACAAGTGAGAGCACTCTGACATGCAGATTCCACGGGCTTGTGTCTGACAGACGCAGATTCCACGGGCTTGTGTCTGACAGACGCAGATTCCACGGGCTTGCGTCTGTCAGGGCAGCCGGAGGACCGTGGCCAGAGTGCCTGTGGAGTCGATCTCCTCTGGCCATGGATGCCTCATCTCGGGGACTTGGGCCATTGATTTGTTGTTAGGTCACTCTGTACCTACAAATTGCTACAAACTGAGGAACATATGAAGTGAGTGCCCTGCCTCAACCGTAGAGTCTGCCGTGACATGGAGTCCTCTTCCTAGGTCAGCGGCTTTGGAAGTCATTTTGCTTGTCTGTGAACTCTAGGAGAGCTGAATTCTAAAGCACCCAAGAATTCCAGCTATGGGCATTGTCCACCTAGAGACTAAGTGGAGTCTCCTAACAGATGCAGCTCTCTGCCTTCAGGAGGCTGCCAAAACTATGTAATTTTTTTTGAGGGATCCCTAAAAATCCAGCTACTGGAAGAGCGAAGGGTCCTTTTATACCACAAAAGTGACAGCCCCGCAAATAACTTCCTGATTATCTTGGCAAACTTTGACAAAAATTTCAATGATTTAAACTCCATTTACTTTGTCACAAGAAATGTTAGCATTTCAATTGCTAATAAAAGAAAAATGGCTTGATTATTTTTTTAAAAAGATGTAATTATAACAGTAAGGCTTTGATGATGCAAAATATGTTTTCAAAAATCTTCTTGGACTACATCAAAACAAAATACCTCTGTTCAGCAAAAAAGACAGACAGCGGAGGGAAGAGCCCACCCACACAATGCTAGAGATTATTCAAACTATTCTTCAGATAATGGGCTCAGAAGCAAACATCAATAGGCTCATTTCACTTCATTTTACGTGTTTGAGTGTCTCACCTGTAGGGTCTGCTGTGACGTGGAGTTCACTTTGTAGGTCAGCGGCATTGGAGGTCATTTGGCATGTCTGAACTCTAGAAGAGCTGAATTCTACAGCACCCTAGAATTCCAGCTATGGGCACTGTATGTGTGTCTGTGCACCACATGCATGTCTGGTGCCCATGGAGGTCAGAAGAGGGCACCATCCATTACTGGGGTTACAGATGGTAGTGAGCTGCCATGTGGATGCTGGAACAGAATCCAGGACTTCTAGAAGAGCAGTCACTGTTCTTAACTGCTGAGCCATCTCTCCAGGCCCCATGAGTAGCCATATTGAAAGTGCGCAAAAGACCTAAGTTGACTTTCCTAAAAGTCAAATGGCCAAAAGGAGCAAGAAAGTGGGTTGTCCCGCGCTACCGTCTCGCCAGCAAGAACGACGCGGCACACTTAGGATCCTTCTGCAGAAAAGCTTTAATGCGTCTTGAGAGAGAGAGCATAAGCTTACAAAGCGGAGACCCAGAATGAGGGGAACCCATCCCTTACATAGGAAACAGTCCTTGCTTCGGACGTGTCACTCTTGGATTGGTCCGCTGCCCATCAACCCAGATGACGCCTCGGGAGTAGGCAGGGACGCAGCAGTGGAAAGTTACCAAGCACATGTGCATTATCTTGTTCACCAGGTGGTGAGGCCGGGTGCCAGCACCATCTTGTAATGGAGAATGTGGTTGCGGCCCTCCACATCTCCCCCTTTTTTACTTCTTTGCAGAAAGGCAACTCCCTCAGAAGGCAAAGATAGAGGTCGCACTTCCCAGAGTGGAAACATTATAATGGGCTTGCACAGAATCTGCCCCTAGGTTCATGACACCTGGAACTTATCTGGCCTGCCCTCTGCCATTTTTCTGGGAAAGGGAATATACGGCAGGAAACCCTT